GAATAACGAAGAGGTTTTTTAAGTACATGTGCATTTCCTCAAGGAGATCAGGGTTTGAGCACACACATTGGTCTTTACATGCATGCCGATGAAGCATGCATAAAAATATGTCTGCCTTTGTTGGCGTACATGCCAAAGTCTGACCTTCCGTGCTTTGAACTCTTGCTCCAAAACGCGAATGCATAATTCAAGAGGACTGAAGCAGAATAGTGTTGAGCATAACTTCTGGGTACATGTTTCCCACAGCAAACTACACAGATTTGAATTAATTTCTAAACTGTCCATGCATCAGGAGATGTGGGTTCCTCAGCATAAGGACGAGGAAAATCAGTGCAAATCAGTCCAGGGCAGTCTGCATGGGCCTGCAGACAAGCACTGAGGACTGTGTGCTTTCTGGAGAACTTCTCATCTAAAGTGAGAACACTTATGTCTGTGTGAATTTGAGATATGACGGTGAAATAGGTGGGAAAACCCACTTTTGTGGGTCTCAGGAGACTATATGCATGAGAGAATCACCATAATGAATTGCCATTCTGAAGTAAGTCATTCTGGGTGTATGCCAAAGTGGGGCCTGTAGAAAAGTCCACCAGGTTCAGGTACTGACAGGTGAGATGGTAGCTAAGCAAATGTTTTGGGGATAAGCAGGCTTGAATATTGCTTAGGTCTAATTAAGTCTAATATGCCTCATTCGTTTCTTTCTGGCCCAGATACTGGTAATGCACTCAAGGGATACTGTTATGGTGCCAGCCAGACCATTGACTATAACTGAATTTATTTATTAAGAATAAAAATAAATGTTCAAAGGTTAAGGTGGTAGCAATCAAGTCATTTTGTGTCTCATTATATTGTGAGGAAACACAGCCCATCGTGCCGCAGAAGAATGATGTTTAGGAGTCCAAATGTGTACACTGCTGCTAATGTGCATATTTGTTTTCCCTCCCTACACAGACACAGCCAAGGCTGACGTGCAAAAAGAAATGCCTACAGACTGGTAGCCTGTGACTACTGGTGTACAGATTTTTCTTTCACTCTTCTGAGCATTTGTCCCATTTGGAAGTGTCATGGGAAATATTCTTCACAGTTTTACAGCCCTCAGTAGCTGAAGAAAATGAGACTTTATTGCTGTAGAAAAAACTCCACCTTGCCACAATTATTTAGCTGTGTGTGTGCATTCAGATGTTGATATGCCCCTAGTATAGCACAGATTTACCGACAGCTATGGCTACTGGGAGAAACCTTGCTCGCCCTCAAATTACCAACTACATTTGCCAGCTTCCACAGAACCAGGAATTCAATCAGTCATTGCTGCCAACTCTAAAGGATATCACCAAAGTGCTGCTGGAAATGATGCAGAGCTATTTTGAAGGCATAACTTAGAAAGATATTTTCTTAAGTGCCATATTGCAAAATTGTATGAATTAGCCAAATGTGTATTCTGGAATTCTCATAGCTTTCATATGGAAGCTTTATTACTTTTGTAATTCACTCTTCACTGACTTCTCAGAAATGCCATAAGATGTGTGGAAATTTGTACAAAGGACATCTTAGGAGATGCAAAGCAAAATATTTCTACAACCACCAGAATTTACTAAAGATTAATTTAGTGCAGTGAAAATGTCTTTCTTACAGGTGTGCTTCTATATAGAAAGCAGACTTCACAGTTGGTGCCCTGTAGCTCCTACAGCTGAGAAAAGACTTTTGAAAGGTTCTAATGTCTTTGGTGCCTTAGAAAATGTTCTCTCAAATTGTTTGTTTGAATTTGGCCTAGATCAGTCCTTGGTACATACATTACTGCAGTTGACTTCTTTCTTACTTTACTAATTGGTTTGTGTCTTCAGTGCAAAATATGGAGAGAAGAACAAGAGCGATACACTCCAGCCTAATTTTGCAACATGCTTAGTACTAGCTACTAAGTTTCTTTTTACTAAGGATACAGCTGACTGCTTTCCCATTTTGAATTAAATGATTTGTTTGTACACTTAATTTTCTTCAATCTCTTCATCAGTGGAAAAGTACCGATAAAGCACTAGTTGACCATTAGAAGACAGATAAAATAGAATGATGCATCTTCATTACTGTCGTATTCTCTCTGAACTATTTTTTTTTTCCCTTGCAGGACAGTTCTGTTTACTCTGACCTCTGTAGTTGTGCTTGTCATCACTACTGACTGGATCAGCTGGGACAAGCTGAATCGTGGATTTCTGCCAAGTGACGAGGTCTCAAGAGCCTTCTTGGCTTCTTTCATCTTGGTGTTTGACCTTCTTATTGTCATGCAGGTACACTCTCCTAATATTTCATTCAAGCTGCTGTGGCTGCATAGTCACTATTTCCTCCAGAGCAAGCGGTGTTTAGCTAACACTACATAAATGTAAATAAACTTTTGGTTTGCAATCTGTATTAGTTGAGGCATTTTATAACACCATTCTCAGTGACTTTGCAAAAAGCCTGCTGGCCTTTTATTGTGAAAATGTTGCTGATTTCTCTTCTTGAACTACCAGGTAAGAACTGCATGACTTTCCAAATTAGAAGGTGTTTTCTGCAAAAATGAAAAATGGAAAAAGAAACGGAAGCTAGTTGTTTTGTATATTCAAAGCTTAGGAATATGAAAGAAATGTGGCCAAATAAGAAATACTTCCATATTTCAAGCATTTACAGTATAAGGCATACACACTTTATAGCATTTTAATAGATGGCAATTAGTGTTTGCTATTAAGATTCCACTTTCACATGAAGATGTCTTTGCTGACAGGTCCTTGTACTGTAATGTCTTCTGCCAGCAAGGTGAACTGGGGAGATGATGCCCTGTAGTCTGCCTGATGCCTGCTCCTGTGAATCTAGCTGTTAAGAAAGGAATCTGGGTCACAAGTATGTGGCCAAAAACCTCCTTCATGCAACACTGTGCTCCACGCTTTGCATTTCTCTCAAACGCCTTGTGTGAATAACTCGCCTCGTGTGAATAACTCACCCAGTGCTCTGTGAGGAATTAGGTCATTTGGGCTGAGGCAAGGAAAAGGAGCATCCAAGGCCCGAGTGACTTTTGCTATTAGTCTTAGACACGCTAGACTGTTGAACTGAAGTTTAGCAAAGAATTTGAGAAGAACTGACGGGTCCTTTCTCTTCAGTATATTACTAACTGACTCTGCTGGCAAAGACCATTTCTGAGACACTTAGTTCTCTTTAATGGGATATCTATTGCTTGAGTAATTATCATAGAGGTGACACTGTGGTAGCACTCTGAATTTATCACTGCTCTGCTAGGACATTAAAGCTGCATATAGTCCTATAGTTCAGTTTTATTTACCAGTGTCCACCACTGTTCAGTGCTCACTGCAGTTCATGGTTAGAACAAGGAGGATAAAAAAGGGAATACTGCTTTTTAGTAAGATTTCTGGTGCTTTCTTTTCTCTTCCTTCGCATTTTACATTTTGTTTGCTGTTTCAAAAAGATTCAAGAGAATTTATAATAAATGGTTGTACTTCACAGCGCTGTAGTGAAAGCATGAATGAAAACACACAATGTATCAAGCTATACTGAATTTGATATTGTATGCAAGATAGAGAAACAGAGTTGTCTTCATACCAAATAATTACTAAATCATCCTTTCAACTTTGAAAAATTAAGTTCCAGTATTTGGCCTTGGAGTTGCTGAATATAGGGAAGAATTTTATTTGAAACAGACTGTCCCAGGTACTATTTCATATTTTTACAGCACAAAGCAAGAGGCTCTTTTTAATTGCATTTTTGACTGATGTTTGTGTGATGGAGTTATTTATTTATTTAAAGTTATTAGGGCTGTGCAACTCTGTTGGCATGTTTTATTTACAGTGCAGTTCTAGCATCGTTGCATTGCTACTGCAATGAGTTCAAGACATCAAAGTATTAAGTCACAAGTGAAGACCATCAGGATCATGATCCTTTGACTGAAGTATGCTTTAGAACTACACGTGCTAGAAATTCTTTTTAATAGTGTGGTCTGTGTCACAGGTTGGGTTTTTTTTCCCCTAACTTAACAAGCTTTAGCAACAAACTGGTATAATTAGAAAAAAAAAAAAAAAAAAGAAAAATGCTCAGTATTAAGCAATTTCTGCTTGAGGCTGATGCTAAGAGCACAGATGAAGTCTCATCTGATTTTTGAGTACAGGCATTTTCTGTCCTTCTGAGTGGTAGCATTAATACTGTGTTTAGCAACAAGAGAAAACCAATTGAGTTTGGAAACCCATTCTCAATGCTGTGAAAAATAACCACATAATTGTAAAGGACAGCTTTGCCTTCTTACTGTTATTATAATTTAATATTTATCTAAGCCCTATGTAGAGCATAAGAAAGAAATAAATGACTGAGCGATCCCTGCCCTGAAAGCTACCTTTTTTCAGCTAAACATAACCCAGAGAGATGTGAAGAGGAGAACACAGACAGCTTGAGCCTTATACAGACAGTTATACGCAAGTGATGCTAAAGGCTTTTTAGCTTTGGTTTCCATCCTGCAGCAAACCCTGGCTGCCTCCCAGTCTCACTCTCCTTCTGGTGTGCAAAAGGCTACTCCAGTCTGAGCGATTCACCAAATATTCAGGGGACAGGGCAGGGAGAAAATCACAGATGAGAGACAGAGTAGAAGACAAAGACTTGTGTCTGAAATGTAAATGTGAAAGTTATGACCACAAAAATATTAAGACAATCTGAGAAAACAGATCATGGAGAAGGTTGCAGGACTACAAGAGGGCTTGATGGATAGTGTGGCTGGCATCTGGCGTGGGCTGCATTCCTACCTCTTCTGCCCACCTCGCTGTGACACATCGCCACATCCCACCCTACTTGGAGTGAAGAAAACGGGTGCTGAGAGCCTGTTTTAGATGGCTGCTGTGTATGCATCTCCACCTGATTTTAATCACTGTGTCTTTATAGTCAATGGAGATCAAGGTACAGTTGGGGTGCTTTTAAACATCTATAGTAGGATGAGATGCAGCAGGCCCTAGAGGTGCACGTTTCTCTCCACAGAGAATAAACAGACCCAACATGACGGGCTGAGAGGAACCATCCCTTAAGCCAGACTCAAAAGAAACGTTATGAGGGTGGCATGGCTTGAACCCAGAGGCGCAGCTCTGCAAGGATCCTGCTCAGCTATTTCCACAGCTGATCAAAGGGCCAAAGTCACATTTCTCTGCTAGTGTTTTATCAATGAGGCTTCTCTAGAGCATGTCTGACTGTTGCAGGCAGGTGGATCTCCACTTCTCCCACTACTGCCTGGCCACGGTTTGAAAGAAGTTTAAGTTTCACTGGGTCTAGGACAGCGTATCAGAGACAATAGCCATTTTATGTTGTTTGAGAGGCAGCACAGAGGTCTCTATTCCATTCCTGGTTGTCAGGACATTTTATCCAATGTAAATACGAACACTGATTTTTTGTTAAATGTAGAGATTGCATATCTTCTCACTGAAAAGCAACAGGTCAAATTCAGTCCAATGCAGGTGAGCATCCGTTCATTTTAAAGCGTGTGTGCTTGCTTATAGTAAGAAAGTAAAAACTCTACAATTTTGTTATTTTTTTCACATATGGAAGTGATTAAGTTAGTCATTTTCACCATGTGTGTAATTATGCCTGTCCTGATAATTGAGCTGGCAAGATGCCAACATATGTATATTTCTGGCACCTATAGCATTCACTGTACATGGGCATCATATTTTTAGCCTTAGTTTCAGACTGAGTGCAAGACCACACATATTAAAGCTGGATATGTAGTAATGCTATTATCACGTAATAGAACTTTTTATTATTTTAATGAAAAATTCATATATTCTCTTCTCAAAGCTGTAAGGGAAAAGCTGTTAATTAAAGGAGTAAATATGAGAAATGAAACTATAATCCCAATATCTCTATTTGAGCAAGTAACTCATGCATTAGCCTATATACTGCTTTTTTTTTTTTTTTTTTTTTTTTTTTAGTGTCGTGTTCTTAGTGACTTTGCTGTGGTGGCTGGATTATTAAACCTCGTGAGTCCAGGGGAGATGAATTGTTTCATCTCTGTAGTGTCTTTTGTGACTGTTTAGAGGTTTCTCCAGGCTTCTGAAAGACCATAGAGTATTTCAGCATCACTGTGGAGTTACACGCTGTAGCTACCTTGCTGAGCACTTTGCAAGTCCCAGGGTGTCAATTCTTGCAATGCTTATGACTTACTGCAACTTTTTATTTGACAGTACAATCAGATACCATGTCTGAGTGATTTAAAAAAAAAACACCTGAAAATAGTATTTGATTCCAAAAAGGAGAATTTATTCTTCAATAAACCGAAGAAATTCGTAGCGGCTGAGTGGAATAAACAGAAGCCAGGAAGCGTTTGTGTCTAAGATTCTTTGAGAAAGCTCTTGTATGTGAATCTTTACCCAAACTAGCAAAATAATCCCATTAATACCAAACGGGAATACTCTTATAAATAGAGTAGAATTTTGCCCTTCTGGGTAACTTGAAAGAAATGAAGGTCAAAGAGAGTTCGATAATTAACAGCATTCCGTATGACTACTGCCGGATCTCTGCTCATGTAGGTAATCAGATATCAACAGACAGATATTTTTTTAATAATAAACTTTTTTCAATCATTTTTCATAATATTTTATATGTAAATTGCTTTAATATGTATCGGTAGATCACTCCTTGCTACTGCAGTTGAAAGGGAGCATATTTAATGGGTGGCCTGTCGCTTCTTTGTTTTGTTCTGTTTTCTGCAAAATGCCTGGTCTCCTGTTTTTGGTAGAGTTTTAATAAGAGAATTAGAAGGTTAACAGGTTGAAGAAAATCTGTATTTAGGCTCGCCTGTGGGTTTTCTTCTAGTTCTTCGTAATTCCCTGAAAAAAAAAGTAGTTACTTTAGCTACTTTGTAATGTTACTTATGTTTCATATATGTCATTGTTAAACAATAACACAGAAACATTATCAGCAACATGGAACAGACTCCAATCTTGTTAACAAATACATAAAGTGGGGACAGTTCCATTTATTTTCAGTTTTACACTGATGGAGAGGCTGTTTTGGTTGAAATCTAGTATGATGTGTGAGCACATTAAGAAACACCACCCACAACATCAAGTGCATAGAAGATATGATTTGCTTGAATAGGTAAAGATGTAGTAGAAGTACGGTCTTGTCCACAGAAAGTGAGTAAAGACTTGATTTTTAGAGGTTTGTGGGTTTTTTAGAAAATCTATTTAACTTTGCAAACGTAATTTAATTGTGACTTTTCACTGAGTTTACACTCAGTAATTTGATAGAATTCATTTACATGTAT